CCCCCCACTTTTTTTTTCTCCCCTCTGCGAGTGCTTTGTCGCCTCATGCAGTCTATTTTAGGCCAAACTCCAGCCGAAATAAAATAAATAAGAGGAACATGGGTGTGGAAGTCAGATAATTGCATATCTGTGACCAATTTAACTGGACTGTGCATTGTTGCTTCTTTAAGGAATCCCATGACCATGGCATATCTCACAATTGGCCTCATAGTTAGTGATGGGCACGGACGTGTTTGCAGCTCCACGTGTTGAGCCCGCCAGGAAGCTCACAGCGCCAATCACAGGCACTGAGACATATCCCGATCTATGCAGCTGCGGAGCAGGATAATGTCTCAGTACCTGTGATTGGCGCTGTCAGCTTCCTGGCGGGCTCGGCACGTGGAGCTGCGAACATGCCCGAGCTCAACACTACTCATAGTGTATCTGCACCTTTTTCGGGTCTGTATAAGCACAGTTCGGGTTAGGATTCAGGAATTCTAATCACTGCCCACAGCTATGGACTAATGATTTCACTAAGGGATCATCTAGTTCCACTGTGAACCAGAGATATCAAACTAGAGGGACAAACTAGTCTGTGGGTGCTACTAGAGACTTTCAATATCATAAAGGGAAAAATTAGTGTTTAGGACCTATTGGGGAAAAAGCTATTCTTTTGGGTGCTACGAAGGACAAGCTAGTCTGTAGGTGTTGCTATTGACCAGCAATATCACTGAGGGACAAGCTAGTCTGTGGGTGCTACTAGGAATAATTGATATCACGGGGGGACAATCTAGTCTGTGGGTGCTACTAGGAATAATTGATATCACGGGGGGACAAGCTAGTCTATGTGTGCTACTAGGGACCAGTGACATCGCTGAAGGTCAAGCTAGTCGGGGTGTGTGTGTGCTACTAGGGTCCAGCAATATTACTCAGGGGCAAGCTAGTCTGTAGGTGCTACTAGGGATCAGTGATATCACTAAGGGACACGCTCACCAGTGGCTACTACTACAAGGGATAGGCTAGTCTCTGTGGGTCCTACTAGGGAACAGCAACATCACTGAGAGAAAAGCTAGCTAGTGGGAGCAAGTCTGTGTGGCAACCAGTAAATTGTCCCTCATGGAGAAATCTTCCAAATGTTGTTTTTGTTTGTTTTTTTTCCCCTGCATTATGTCTATAGTTAACCATATATTGATATCCAATTTATATAGTTAACCATATATTGATATCCAATTTATTATTGTTTTCTATCTAGATAGATGTGGAGTATTCATTCTTAGATTATGTGATGGGTGGCTGCCAAATCAACTTTACAGTAAGTAATTGTAGTAAGTGTATGTATTCGTATTTTATGTACACATGAACTATTTATACAAAAAAATTCTTACTATACAGTTATTTTACAAAATCGCTGAAACTGCCAGATGGGACCCCCCTTCCCAGATAATCATTAAGTTAGTTTTAAAAGAAATTCTAAGCTGCAGACCCAAAGCATTACCTGTAATCCATGGTCATGTAATGTGCCGGATTCCAAGTCTATCATCTTGACTGCAGATGAGGAGGGTCCTTTTTTTGGGTCGCTGCTTGGGGAACATGGACACCTACTATTGGCTGTCCAGCAGCAGGGTCCTCCTTGGTCCAGCTGTCATCCTGTGTGATGATGGCAGGACATGGCAGCCTCCAGGCTGCCATGATGTCATGAAGAGGCTACTAGACTGCTTGGTCAAGACTGTAGTGAGTCATCCACCAGTCATCATTCCCAGAAGCAGTGCTGGCAAGGAGTAGGGGAATGATAAAATGCTTCAGAAGGTAGTTTTTTTTTTTTTTCTTTCTTTTTGGTTGCTGGAGGGGAGGGGAGACTCGATCATTGCTCCAAGATGGTCTTTAAATTTTTTAGCATTGCAATAACTGCTAGTTGCAATTAAACTGACAACAGAACTGAACTTCTGATGCAGTTTCAGAATAACGACCCTTCCTGTGAATAAACACTAATAATGGGGGTCCCTATGTCTCTTACTGTCATATACAGGTGGAAACATTCAGCAAAGTAGTACCTGCTATCAGTTTGTCATCTCCTAGCTGTGCTAGTCTGGATATATAACAAAAAAAGCTCTCCTCCTCTGTCTTCATAATGATGCATTGCTTGGGTGGACACACTTCTCATGATGCCTTATAACAGGGGTGCCCACTATTTTTCGTCTGGAGATCTACTTTTCAAATGACGAGCTCATTGAGATCTACCAACGAAAAAACACCTGCATTCAGGGGCGGGAGGGGGCGTGGCGATGCATTGAAGTCAATGGCTCCGCAGGCCGGCACCTCGCCCACAGTGCGATCACCTGCACTGGTGCCTGTGTTCCAGTCCAGTGCGATCCGCAAAAATTCTGCGAGCACTATTTTTGCAGATCGCACTGGACCGGAATGCAGGCACTAATGTGCCTGCGTTCCGAGTGCGGGCGATCGCAATGTGGGCGATGCCATTGACTTCAATACAGCTCCACACCCCCTCCCGCACCTGAACGCAGGGAGCCGGCCGGCTTACATTCCAGTGCACCCTACTTGTCCCGGCGTCCTGTCCTCCCGTGGTGCTCGTGTGGCCGACGCTGCACATGGGGTGTCCTGCACCTTTCCATCTGCAGCGTCTGACACATTCATGAGAAGCCGCCCACAGGATGAGCTGTGACTGCCGCACGGCGCCCTTGTTGCCATGGCGCCCTGTGCGGCCGCACGGCTCGCACACCCGTAAGGCCGGCCCTGCATTTATAACTGGGGACACATAGTACTATGTGTCCCCAGTTATTTACAAACACTGGAGTGATCAGCCGATCGCTCCAGTGTTTGTCCTGCACAGAGGATTGGTACATACTAGTGACATGTACCGATCCTCTGCCGCTCGTCCACGCACAAGGGGGCTCAGCTTCTCCTCTGGATCCCCCTGCTCTCCCGGGCAGAGGCAGCGGGGGATCCGGGGGGGGGGGGGGGGCGCGCTGTTACAGAACGGACAAGGAGTGAGGGGGAGAGAGAGGCGCAGGCTGTCAGATCCTGGCTGAGCGTCTGGTAGATCGCGATCGACCTTGTGGGCACCCCTGCCTTATAACGTCCTGCCAAGAACCTCATAAGATCTTGGCAAGATGGGCATAGATAATAAACTATTCTGGGTGCCCTGGTTTAGTTGATCAGATAATTTGCTGATTCAGCAATCTTACTGGCTTTAGAAACCTGAGACTAAAAGGTCCCAGTCCTTCCTTCCTTTTTTATTAAACAAAAAAACTGACCAATTGCTTTTAGCTAGAAGATGTATAGATGATATAGGGCTTCTGTTCAGGCAATTGTATAATAACGTTAAGAACTGTAATGTGTAATATGTCCTTATCGTTTCAGGTTGGTATAGACTTCACTGGTTCCAATGGGGATCCCAAATCGCCCGATTCACTCCATTACATTAGCCCAAATGGAGTCAACGAGTACCTGACTGCAATCTGGTGTGTGGGGAATGTGGTCCAGGACTACGACACGTAAGTCCATCATGATGATTTTGCTTTTTACATAGCAAGGATGGTTGTCATAAGTCAAACATCACTGTGCAAGGCACCATGTACACATGTAATGAGTAGTTTATTGTGAGCACAAAACTCCAGTTTGTTTAAAAGCTCAATCTATCCAAAAGTAATATTTCAGTTTTTGGCAGATGCTGGGAAGTGAAACATCCTGATGGTTACTTCGAACTCTGAGACTCTATTGGTTTATGGATTTGTGTCTGTGTACACATCCTGTGCCCATTATGAGGGGCTCCCACTTTCCTTGCTGAATTTTTGCATTTCTTTTAAATTATGGAGAATGTAATAAGAGGAACTGGAAGACAGAAAGGTGGACGGGAACACCCGAAACTCTTGGGTGGACAGGAACTGTGCCGCCCCAATAGGGCATAGAATATGTTGTTAGCATTATTAGTAGATGAGAGTTTATATAGATTGTTTCCCTATACCATTTTCTATAGTCATTCTATATTTGTTCCTATATTGCCATCTAGTGGCCTTTTATGGTAGTGTATTTATTTTTCAATGTTGCCTTCCTTGATATTCCTGGGGTCGATGACACAGTTCCTTTTTATGTATGCCCCTCCCTTCACAGTACTTCCTGTGTCATGGCCACAGCTACAGGCCACATGTAACTAGGACACATATACTCTGCACAGTACGCTAGAAAAGGCATCATTTTCTGACCGCACAATACTGAAATCATTTAATTTGCTGTTCCTATCATCTGCTGTAAGCCTGATGTTAAAAATA